ACTACCACCACCACCACTACCACTATAGTACAGAACCGATACCATGCCCTATACTTGTGAGAACCGACTTCTAAGATCGACAGCAACGCTCAAATGGCCTAGGCGGTTCGGGGTCCAAGACTCAATCGGACCATACAAAACACCTGGAAAGCTGCTAACACCCAAACATGAACGGGCCTTAATAATTAGCCTAATAATCAGAATAGGGTTTGGGGGCCCATTATACTATAATCATTTGGTAATTACTTAGGCCCCTACATTATTCGGGATCCCTGTATAAAAACTTCGAATAGCACCCTCGTGCCACCAAACACCAAGAAGGGCTCTCCAGAATTGACCGGGTCGCCGTTCGGATGTAGAGCCACATCCACATCGTACCCGTGTAAGCCCAAGCTGCGGAAGAATCCTTAGCAGGACTCCTTAAAGCGTTCCCTTTTGAAGCGTTCCTCAACAGGTTCTTGAAAAGGTTCCTTTCTCTAGGGGCTTTCGGACTTCGACCAGGGTTTTGTGGCATGTTATATTATCGGTATACCTATCATAGGAAACTCTAAGGCTCTAAGGAATAATATCGGCAATTAGCCTGGGTTCGACAATGCAGGTTTCCGAAAAGGCCTCCTCAGAGGACTTCGGGTACATGAGGGGTCCATAGACGATCTATGAGGCCGGTATCAGAAGGGGTCAAAAAAACAACGGTACCATAAGGGCTCCTTTAAATGCTCGTTGATGGGGGACTTCTGGGCTCTATAATAACGGCCCCATCATGGATAAAAAATACGGGGAACCATAACGAGGGATCTGTAATTCGGGTGCCAGACGGGGTCTACAGTCAGATTGATGGTGAAGTCGTTTTGCACAGCATGTTTGGTCCGCTGAACAATCATGTCGTGTTCATGCGACCAGGAACTATCGCAGTTGAATCTACCACGATTGCGATGAATCATGTCTCACTGCGGATGTGGAGATCATGATCGTCTCAACAGCAGACTCACGGCCTTGCATGAAATAAGACAGGCCGCTAGAGAGCGTCTGACGATCGCACTTGGAGGGGATGTTCCGCAGGAACACCGCCGAGCCACGCCATCGATCACCATCTGTTGCTGTAGTAACTTGAAGGCCTCAGTTTAAGGTTTAGGGTTTAGG